AATACCTCAAAACACCTTTGAAAACACCTTCAAACACCCTTGAACACCTTCAAAACACCCTTGAACACCTTCAAAAAAACATTTGAACACACTCAAAAGTACTCTTGCACATCATTTGTACACCTTCAAAACACCCTTGAACACCTTCAAAACACCTTTGAACACCTTCAAAGCACTCTGAACACCCTCCAAAAACACCTTAGAATATCCTCAAAACACCTTTGATCACCTTCAAAAACACCCTTGAACACCTCAAAAACACCCTTGAACACCTTCAAAAACAACATTTGAACACACTCAAAACACCTTTGAACACCTTTGAACATTTCCAAAACACTATTTGAGTACTCCCAAATAAGATTTGACATCTCTAATTTTGATCAGACTTACACATATCATTAAATTACAACTCAATCCCTCATGTCCAGACTTCACAACATATCACAAAAACTACTCAAACACTTTACTTTGAACACCCCCAAAAACACTCTCAAAAATCATTTGAATACACACATAAACACCCTTGTAGACCTCAAAACACCTTGAAATATCGTTTTAAACTAATTTCAATCACAACCCACTTATATCAACTTTTTTCGGTAACTCTAATTCGACTACACAACCCCTCATCCTTACCAACAAATTTTACTCTCGTTTTAACTAATGTCATCACTGAAACCAAGATTATCACAAAAAAAAAAACTCTATGTCACCTAAACACACACACACACACCCCACAACACCCACAATATTTTCCTCGTTTAACACCTTTTTAGTTCAATAAGTTTAATAAGGGTACACAGTACTCAGAAAGTCACAACCCCACCATCCACAACCCACAATTTTTTCTCGTTTAGCTAATTTCATCAGAAAAGTCCCACAACAACCCACTTAATAACATCTTTTTTCGGTATCCTAGTTCGACAACAACCACCCACACCACCCACAACCCACAACACCCATGCACATTTCCAAACACTATTTGAGTATCTCCCAATTACACCACTGATTACTTCTAAAACACCGCTGAATTCAATCAAAACCCTTCAACACCTTCAACACCCTAGAACACATTCAAAACACTCTTGAACCCACTTTCAAAAACACCTTTGAACATTTCCAATCAACACTGAAACACCCACAAAACACAATTGGAGTACTTCCCAATTAACACCACTGAATACTACTAAAACACCTCTGAAATCAATCAAACACCCTTCAACACCATCAAACACCCTTGAACACACCAAAACAGCCTTCACACCTTCAAACAACCTTTGACCACCTTTCAAAAACACCTTGAACACACTTCAAAACACTCTCAAAATCATTTGAACACACTCACAACCCCTAGAAAAACCGCAAACACCTAAGAACACCATCAAAACACCCCTTGAAACACCCTTGATCACCTCAAAAAACAACATTGAACACACTCAAAACACCTTAGAACACCTTTGAACATTTCCAAACAACACTGAAACACTTCCAAAAACACCATTTGCGATACATCCCAATACACCACTGAATACTAAAACACAACTGAATACACTCAAAAACACCACCAAAATCACCATAAACTAATATCAACACCCACATCCCACAATAACACCCACAACCACAACACCAACAATTATTTGCTCGTTTTATCTATTTCATCAAGAAAAGTCACAACACACACACCACCCATTTTTCTCGTTTTAACCCTTTTAAGTTCATTAAAGTTAATAAGGGCCAACTACATCAGAAAAAGTCACAAAAACAACCCACATTATAACGTCCTTTTCGTATCTCTAGTTCGTCAACAACACCCCATCCCACATCACCCACCATCCCCCCATCCCACACACACACACAGACACACACACACACACACAGCCCTCAGCCTAGCCTAAACCTAACATAACTTATCCTAACATAACTAACTAACTAACCTAACCTCACCTAACCTAACTAACCTAACCAACCAAACTAATCCTAACCTAGCCTAACCTAACCTAACCTAACCTTAACCTAACATATCCTAACCTAAACCTAACCTAGCCTAACCTAACCTAACTTAACCTAACCTAACCTAAACTAACATAACCTTACCCTAACCCTAACCTTACCAAACATAACCTAAACCTAGCCTAACCTAACCTACCCAACTTAACCTAACCCAACCTAACTAACCTAACCTAGCCTAACCTAACTTGGAACCTAACCTAACC